ATGGTAGAACTATGATACAAAACGTATCTATGCTAGCGTACACATTTCCTTAATAATACCTCGACTCTCGCGTACATCGTATTTCAAGCGCAATCGAGACCGTACACGGAGAAAACGTTGCAGTAAAAATTACAACGAAATTTTTGTTATCTTGGACCATACAGAATCACGACCGAAATTGTATATATTTGCCGAAAAATGTTATACACGCTTGACATTTTGCTGCAAAATTATTGTAATTACTTAAATGTTTTTCGTGCATCAAGATAGAAATGGTCAAATTAACTCTTTTTGAAATAATTTATCCTGCAATTCCAGTACAGTCCAGAGCTTTACGAAACACTTTGTATAAAGAAATATAATTTAAATGTAATTTTTGCTACAATGTTTCCTCTCTGTATACAACGCTGCTCGTGATTTATGTGTGGATTTAGGACGCGATCCGTGGACACCGTGGAATCAAATGTACAAAAGGGCTGCGCATTCCTCTGCGAGTACTCGCGTTGCCTGTCTGCATCGTTTAAACGTTCACACTCGATAGTCGCATAGTACGGTAATGTAATATCTCGTTAGAGGTCTCGTAGCCGCGGATTTCGTCATGGATGTTTCGTCGTGTTAGGAACTATGCTGACTTTATTCTGCGATCTCGTCGCGCATTTCGCGAAGTAATCGTCTACCACAATAGCATCGTCGATGTGTCTTTGAATGTCGAAAGGAATTTCATGCGGGACTCATTGCTTCCAGAAAACTGCGCCTAGATGGGCGACTTCAACGCTTCCGGTGAATGTAGCACTGAGGGCTCGTCTCGTTCTCGGATACATTGCGATTCGTCAGTGTTTGCCGCTTTCAAACGACTGTATGTGTGTATGTATGGGTGCAGTGTTCTTATCCACGCATAATAATCGCGGAAGGTGCGCTAACAAATTGGCACTGTTCATTACACGTGCGTTTCTCATACCAGCTAATTAACTGTCAAGATGCAAGATCGCTGCCGCCGTTTAACGCCTATGCACGTGTACGCATGTATCTCTGGAAATATCTCGAGAGAAAATTACGAAATTGGAAAGCACCGTGTATAATATCAATGTGTATAATACAATTGAGAAAATAATATCAACCAACTAACGCGTTGAGGGCGTCAAGACGGCCCAAGAGTCATGTCGGTCATGCTTTTTGCTTATGTATTTATTGTGAGAACAATGCCAAAAACCACGACAAGAGCACCGCAAAATGTTCTTTTTAGAACATAAAACTCCTAAAAATGTCTCAAAAGGATTCTCTATTTCGCTATCCATTTCAAGATAAACACATGAATCAAACGTGTGGCCAACATAACTCTTGAGCCGACTTGACTCGATGCCCCCAACAATTATCCTACAATCGCACGAATCCGCGCACGATCGCGTTCTCTAAATTTCTTGGAGTGAAATCTCACTCAGAACGAGTGAAAAGTGGCAGTGTTCTCACTCAAAGCAATAGTGAAGATACTGCCACTCGAAATCGCAAGAGTGAATGCTTCACTCCGAGTGGATTCAGACTCCATATGAGCGAATGTTTCAGTCGGCCAGAGTGAATACGTTCCTGTGACGGTGTACGTCAGAATTGCTCTTGAATTTCGAGTGAGACCATTCACTCGACGGTTAAGAGCAGAGAACTCTGTGCGAGCGAAAAATCACTTGAATTCTTGAGTGACTCTGTGGTAAACCACAGAATTATTGGCATCTCCTTTAATCATTGACACTCTAGAAAAACCTAGTTTCTCTTACGATCAGCGACATCTGCTCGTCTCAGTTGCGAATATCTCTTCTAAAATCATAGAACACTGGCAGAAAGTATGATTGCTGTGCTGATCGTATGAAAATCCGAGTTTTTATAATGATTTAAAAGAATGCCAATAACTGTGTGGTTTACTCATCGAGTGAAATTTAGAGCGTAAAGTAATCAGCACGCAAGAGACGTTCTTCCACGAAATCTATTAATAATGCTCTCACAGCCGACTCTAATGAACTTCGTGAAACATGCTTTAGCATTTATGCATTTGTGCACGCAAATTACTCATCATGAAGGGCGGAAACTCTCTCTGCCGTCTCACGCCGCGGCCGGAAAATCGTGAAAGAGTGCCGTCTTGTGCCCGTTAAGGGTTAATCCTCGGTAGAATTTTCCGACGCGCAGCTGCCGGCCCATTATCGTTCGACATAGGTACTTTTGGCATCGACGAATCCCCGAAGAGAGCCCGGGAGAGGGAAATAAAACATCCTTCCCGAGACTGCGGGTATTCCTCGTGATCCGATACGATCAGCACGGGCCGGGCCGGAGAGCGAGAGAGAACTTTCGGCATAACTCAACCTCGTTATCTGACTCGCAAATAAGGCAGCGGAAAAGTTCGCGACATCAATCTGGGCCTCTGCCGGGAGATTCGAAGTTGAAACAATGCTTAAGTCACCCCTAACGTATGAGCCCCATGGGGTGGCGAGTTGGCGGCGGCGGCAGCGACGGCGGTTGCACTGCATGACTCCCAAAGTCCGCCGATTCGATCTCGACGCCCGTCGTCCTCCCGTCGTCCTCCTGTCGTCCGGCAAGAGCAAGACCCTCGACGAGGGTCCTGCACGTTGTGTACCGTCTCACCGACACGTCGCTCCGCCGTGGCGGGCATTAAATGCGAGAGACCAAACTTTATTACCGTCCCGAAGTTTCGGCTTCCTCGCGCGACGGCGGCTGTTAAAGATCTCTTGGACCAACCGAGTAGTCTCGAAGTCGATACGATACGCTCGCACCGTGAAATCTCGCGAAAGCGAGTAAATCCGAGAGAAATCGCGGCGACTTCTCCAGCTCGCAAAAGTCTTCGCGTAGATCTTATTCGTGTGTATGTGTGTGTGTGTTTCTTTTTTTTTTTTTTTTCATTTTATCTGCTCCTATTTTATTCTCCAGCAGTTCTCGTTCTTCGACCGAATCGCGTTAACTCCATTATAGTCTAAAGAGCACCAATAGTTCGCCCTGTCTGGCGAATACACGTTTCGTTACCTATCTATTTTACCTAGTTATCTGTCTATCTATCTATCTATCCAGCTAACTATCTTCCATCATTTAGCCAGTCGAGCGTGGGGAAGACGAGTTCCTTCGACGTATCGAACACATCCCACATAGCACACAAAGTTAATGTTACTATCACTAAAATGTCGCTAATGGTATCTCAATGAATTAAAATTTTTTTACATGGAATATTGCAATAATGTTCTCTGGCGGAAAGTAGCGCGTTAATATCACTGAAAAGCTAGCTTAAGATGGTAAGGTAGTTATATTTTGATGGATACTGAAATGATATTAATTTAACTACAAAGCAAATATTGAATTAACCACGAGAATCTTCTATTAATGTTCGTGTTTAAAGCTTGTTAAAAATCTCGAAAAGTAAGGTCATGACTTTAAGATCATGATAACATCACTTCAGCAACATAAAACTCCTCGATATTGGTGTAACAGTTTTGTGCTATATGGGATCAATCTAATGAAGCGAGATAAGGAAAGAACACTTTGGATCTGCACGTACTTCCCGCACGTTCTATCTTACGTTGGAGAATCTATCTTAAACGGGAATAATGATTCGTCCGGTAAAACACGGTGTTCTTCGAACAGCGTGGTGTAAGGTAACATGGGGAGAAATAGCCGCCGCTGCATGCGATTGTGTCAGCATGTTGAAAAATATTATACTGTCTATCCTCCGGATTCTTTTCAACGAAACGCTGCGAGAATATATATTTTTTTGCCGATCGACACCACGTAAATGAAAGGATTACTCGTCTAAATTCTCCCGCGCCGCTTATCCCACTTAATCGCGTCGCCTCGCTCGGACACCATCGTATTTTATGGCTGTAATCTTCTATTTACATAAACCGGACTTCGGAGAGTTCGTACCATCGATCTTCATTCGCGACCACAAGCGGACCGTTCTCAATGCGCGTATATATATAATACATATCTATACGATAAAACACACCGCCTCTCCGACATCGTTCACGCGACGCCGACAACTTAACAATACCTTTCGACAGTTAGGAGATAATCGATTATGTGCGATCTGCCACAAGTCACTCACGAGCTAAAAGTTACTGGTTTGGGCCAGAGTCACTGGAATACAGAGTCCGGACAGAGGTCGACAAAATGCACATGGCGGGGTTGATGATGCCGCCTTGCGATTCTTTACTCTGCGTGCGGCGATATTTAAATGTTAAGAATATGGAACTAAAAAAAAAAACAAATTCGTTTTTAAATTGTTATTTGCTGCGAATACAAATTGCGCACATTAGGACTAAATATTAAATATTTATATATTATTTCATAATGCTATGCGCGCATAGCCACAGTTTTCAATAATTTCTTTGCGCTGCTCATTCGATGGGAAACATTTCATTGGAAATCTCACTTCTTGTGCAATTTGGAACACAAAATAGCCCTAACGTAACTTTACAGCCGAAATTCACGATCCAATCTCATAACTTAAGATTCTCTTAAGCTTAACTTGGGACGCTCCTTAGCCAATGAAATGATTCCGTACGTCGGCTGAAGGTGACAACTCGAATACAACACTGAGAGAAAAATGCATGATATTTGGAACTATAATGGCATAGTAAAAATATTATAGTTAGGAATATAATTTTTATAGTAAATGTTACCATAATATTTGTAATATTTACAAATATTTTTAGTAAAGTTACCATAATATTTGTAATATTTACAATATAAGTATAGTATAACTGAGCCGTGTAAAATTTTTACCAAGAATTACAATTATTTGAAATAAAAAATATGGTAAGGTGGCAAATATTGAATGGTAAGAGAAATTAACTATAGAGAAATTAACTATTTTATATAGAGAAATTAACTATAGAGAAATTAACTATTTTATATAGTCAATACAATTGGAATATTTGGCAAATATAGGTACATGTAACTATATTCCCAAAAGGTGCTTTACCATATATATAGAGTAATAAGATGGTGACTATAAATCTGTGTTCATTCTACTATATCTTCATGTTTAGATGAACTATAAATATATGTTTGAGGCCAAAACGAACTATAAAATATAGTGAGATTATAGTTATTCCAACTATCTTTTTCTCTCAGTGAAGATTCAGCTACGAACACCGATCGAATGTTTACCAAGGGCGCGATATTTTGCCCAAACTGATAAGCTGCCCAGACTCTGTATAGATTGAGACTCTAGTTTGGACGATCGGGATGGTAAGCTATACGTAGACGACGAGGACGACAGCCGAGACGCGGATTTTCGCGACGCCCCCGTCCGCGGAGCGCGCGCGCGCACGACTCAATCGATATATCGGCGCTTACTTCGTTTGTCATTTGGCATCGTACGATGCTTGCGCATTGATACCGTTTAAATTATTCATGGGGTTCAGGACGTTATGGGCGCTCGAGCTGGCTGGCGCTGGATATCCGTTGTGGTTATGGGCCGTCTCCCCGTTCGCTTGTCGTTGAGGGCCACCCGCGGCTACGGTCTGCAAGATAAAAGAAGACGCGTGAGGATTACGCCGGTATACTCGGCATATATGCTGGTCGCTTTTTCTCTTTCAATTTGGCCCGATCGACGATCTCGACTTAGCGTGGAAAATTTATGCGACCAACAGCGCGCGCGCTCTTTTTTGTTTTCCATTGTTCGAGCAACTTTGTCGTCGAGCAATGCCGCGACGCGCGGTGCAAACGTTTTTGCTGAAGCAGCCGAGATTTTCGCGTGTATTTTCTCTACCAGTCTCTACACGAAAACATATCTCGTATCTGTCTTGAACGTTCTCTCGACAACTAGTTGTAATCCAGGTGAGATGCTTATATTAATGCGAGTTGATACCATTGAATCGCACTGACCGCCTTAGTTAACAAATTCTGGTTAGCGACTCGTGTCCTTGTCTAGATTATAACATAGATTATATCTAGCTGTAACATAGCTAACAAGCTAGATTATATCTAGCTGTAACATAGATCGAGAAAGAAACTTTCATTAACTATGGTTATTAAAATCGCTGCTTATCGATATTGCTGCAAATATGATTACAATTATGCTCCGGTAAAAACGGTAAGAGACGGACGCGCAATCGCTGATTCGCATGTTCGCTTTGATCAACGGTTTCCACTTGGGGTGAAACTAATGCGACTAAAATTTTTGAGAGAATTTCTTATCCTGAACAGACGTAATAGACGTATATAGGGCCCGGCCTTAAATAAGAGCCTTAAATAAAGAAACATTTAATCTCTTAAGTTTCATCGAACGTATCGATCAAAGTACCGCATATATACGTGAGACCGTTCTCTTCGTCTAGAATTAACAAGTCGAATTATTAATTACATTAATACATTAGGACAAATTTTGTTCAATAATTTAATTTATCACGTCACCGGTCTTCCGATGCACGTCTACAAATAGAATATGAATCGTTTTCCATTTCGCAGAAATTGCTCTGAATTTAATATTTCACATGCGAACGCGTAAAGAGCGTTTAATCCATTTTGGATTACGCTGCATTTGTGGAATCTACTGATTTCTCTCCGGGTTGTCTTTAAACGAGTGAGAAACGTCGCTTAAGGATTACGTTCAATTTATCCTCGAGAACCACTTGTCGGGCGCTTAAATGCATATTTCAAAAGGTGCATAAGACAGCGAATCTGTAATTCTGAAGAATCTCTAATCCGATTAAGAGGCAACTCACGGAATCCAAGAATAAGATCAGCCGATCGACCGGCCTCGTGATTCGATTTCCACAATTATTCACGACACGCGGCACGTAAAATTCGTCGCGGGCTGCCGAAAGGGGTTGACAACGCTAACGAATTCGCGCTACTCCGTCTCTCTCTCTCCCTCCCCTCTCACGTTCTTTAACACGCCGGTGTCTAAGGCTTCACTTTAAAAACAAAAGACCGGAGGAATGAACTTGTATCTCGCAGTGCCCGGGTAAAGAGAAGAGAACAAGCACGATTCAACTTGGGCGGTTCTCTCTCTTCCTATTTTACTTCTTCTTCTTCGTCCTCCTCCTCCTCCTCCTTCTTCTCCTCCTTCTCCTTCTCACAACCGAATCTTTATTCATCTCCGCCACTATCTGGTGGCCATATTTATGCGCGAGCGGTACAGAGCGATTGCAGGAGAGGGAAGAGGATGTACTAGGCTAGGTAAGTGCCGTTGAAAACTTCCAACTTTGTATCTCCCGTCTCCCTCCGCCTTTCCCTACTTCATCTTATCCTGTCGATCCTTCTTCGTCTCTCGTTCTCCTTCGCGGAACACGCGTGTCCCTTTCTCTCCGTCTCTCCCTTCAGTTTCTCTTAGTTTCTACAGTAAAGGTGTTAAATTATACAGGCTTAAAATTCGACAGACCGTGCAGCTCAGCCCCACCGTGACGAGGTCCTCCTCCCTCTCGCCACGATTTCGGCCCGTAAGTTGATCACGCCAACTTTCTCACGGGGCTGAATTAAGCCACCATCTTCGGCAATTATCCTGCGACTCGGAATGCCGAATACGTTGCGACGCGACGGAACGCGCTGTCGTTGATTTTAATCGCGCTTTACTTCAAGAAAATATACCGTACAATATGTTTCCATCTCAACGAATGTCGTCGCGACAAAATTTGTTATTGAGACAATTTTATGTCCGTCCATTTAAAGACTCCTACCATCCTTACTGCTTCACCTCGCTCTTACTTCTCGTGATGCGCGACGGAAGAATAAAAACCTGAAAGCGCAGATCCGTCACGGGAGCCCTGCGAGAGGTGTTATCTCCGAGGTGTCTTAATAAAGCATTTTTCCCGTTTTAAAGCGCAAAGAAGCGAGAGTGCGGTTGCGGAGTAATTAACTCGTAAATAATTACGATAAAAGTGACAAAGCGCCGCTAGAGAAATGCTTTATCATCTGTCTCCGCGGCGGGGGGTGATTTTTTTTCCCCCTTAGAAAGGATCCTTAAATCTCGTTGCCGTGAGAACCCTTTCCCCCACGGCCACCGGTAGCACTTCCGTCCTTCTCTCTTACTTTTCGTTTACCTCTCCACGCGTATACACAAAGTCCTTCTTTCTCTCTCTATCCTCGCGCTACTCCTCTTCCTCTTTCCACTCCTTCTCTTGTCTTAGAGAGGGTCCCGCTCGTAATTAAGAAATCTCCGTAGAAGGCTCCAGACCGCCGTTGAACGCGCTGCTATGGGGTTAAATTAAGTCTATGACTTATTCAAGTTTTATCTACAATTGCCAGCGGAGGAATTACCGCGCTGTGGATTTACTGCCGGCGTCGTAATCAAACGGCACGCGCTCGGCGGGAACAGCTCCGCTAATGTGTGGGTACATAGAGGTACTTCAAGGTCGGAGACATTCGCTCGATCGCCCTTGTTAGAACCGTTAGAAATTTGGCGATCCGCGCGCCTGGAGATTATTCCAACGATAACTTCACCTCACCGCGGATTATTAATGTAACAAAAGAGTCGCCCCGTGTTGCAAATGACGGTCGAGCAGCTCCTTTCGTGTTTATTCGCTTCTCACCTCGCCATAATCTCCCGGTTTTTCTTTGCTCCCCCGGAGGACCTCGCGCGAGAACGCGCGCGAATAAGACATTAATCGTGGCGCGGTGCGAGGGTGGCGGTCCGGGTAGTTTGTAACTGACGGTAAATGCGGAGCATCGTCGTCGCGCGCGCGCGCGCGAGGGCACGGAGGGAATCGCGTGTCATTTGTCCGTTGATCTCCCGCGGATGGGAAACGGCCAGGTGCGAGCCCCATTCCTCCGGCGGCAGCGCGGCTTTTCTTACGCGCAAAAATTAGCGCAGCCCTCACACCCCGAGCGCGTTCGTGCCGACGATAGTTCGGCCCCGACCTCCGGCACGAGATGAGAATTAGGCAAGACGTCGTTAATCGCCACCGGGATCGTTTAGGAGCGGAATTTACTGGCGGGTCGTTAGTCCGGCGCGGCCATTTTCGATCCGATTCTTCACGGCCGGGGGAGGAGGAAGAAATTGATTAACACACCGTTGCGAGCGTCCTATCCAAGTAGAAAAATTTCCAGGAAAAACTGCTGTCTGCTAGTTTTCACTGGGATTTATTATTCAGGACAGTAATTATTCAGGAAAGTACCGACCAGTTACTGGCCAGAAACTGTTCTCTAAAGTACAATTAGTCTATGCAATTAGTCACTCAAATGCTATACTTATAATTGATGGTTCAGTCAGATAAGTATAATATTGCAATCAATAAAATCTCGCTGAAAGAAGTTTTTAATAGCGACTATTCTCTTATTATTCATGCAGTTTGCAAACTCAGACAGTGCCATGCGTGAATCGTATGGTGAATCGTTAATTTTATTTCGCCATAAAAGGAGAAAATCGGATTTAGCACAGCATATAACGAATTTGTGTAGATTTGACAGAGAAATCTTACTTTCACTGATCAAAATCAATACGATATAAGATGGAGTAGTAAGATTGTAGTATTTCCATTGAAAGTCAATGAATATTTGTGTAGTAAATATTATTAGTGAAATACTCCTTTTACTGAATTCAATCAGAAACATTCTTACTGATACACTTTAAAAGAATAAACAATAAAAATGATAAGTAAATGCTGGACCTTCTATTTAGTGAAAACTCGGAAAATATTATTATCAATGTTTCTTGGCAAGTTACTGACCGGAAGCTAGCTAGTACTCAAAATTCCTGTCCAGCTAGGGAGAGATCGCGCTCTTTCTACCTGGGTAATATCTAGAATTTGCTGAGAAGACACGCCACAAATTACGTTTGCCCGACTTCTTGACAAGTTCCAAGTAGAATTTTTCTCGGCTCAGTTCTGTTCACATTCATGTCAACTGGAACTTGCCAACATTTCGGAATAGCGAGCTGCACAACGGCGAGGCTCGGCGGACGCCGACAATCTACTCGTCTCGATTCAAAGGGAGCGACAACCCAAAGTGGTTCAATTTCGAACGGTGACGCGAAATTACCACTTGTGGACGCTGAAGCGCGACCTCGGCCGCGTGGTCGAGTCCTCACGACGCGCCGAGTCCTAACCCGTCGGTAATAATCGTTACAAAAGTAAGCTCGACCACGTAGCGCATAGCTCTCCGAGTTGTTTGCCAACTAAACTCATAATCTCGCGTAAGCTCGCAAGCCGGGCTTTCCCATGCGAGCTTTCTCGGCGCGCGTTGTATAAGGGGCCGCGCGGAGGCTTTACGTGAAATTCAGCCAAGCACGGTGCACCTAATAATGCGCTCGTTAACAAGAACGACGTGTACAGGGCGCGTGCGAGGGTTCGTATGTACGTGTTCTCTCTCTCTCTCTTTCTCCCTCTCCTTCTCTTTCTTTCTCTCGCTTCCTATCCTTTCTCTCCTTCTCTCTCCGTCTTCCTGTCACGACACAGTTCGCGATTTACGACATGTTCGCTTAAGAGGCAATCTAATCGGTCGTTCAATCGACGATCTCCCAATCAGACTGCTGTGCGATTTATAAACTTCAAGAAACATCTCGAGCACGCTGATGCTTTGAGGT